GGAATTCTTGCAACTGCTTGTGCTTCAAGTACAACACTGTAGGTCAGAGTCATGTTCTTGAACTTGACTGATTCTTCCTGAGATATTCTTACAGCTCTTCCTCATTTATATCCCCACAAGAGAATTTTTCATCTTTAGTGAAGGAAACCCAGTAGTCCAGTTTGGTATATTCAAAACAAATGATTGTAAAATTACTCTGAAGAAATTGGCAGCTACCCTGCAAATGTACCTGTTCCTTCTCACAGAGGGGCTATTGCATGCTCTTCTGAACTTAGGGACTTCTCTAGACTGAGAAAGTATTGAAGGTCTCATCCACAACTTCAAATGTTTTTCTGAATGTCCAATTTCCAAACTACTTACTCTGCCACTAAGTTTCCTCATTTGGATTCTCGCAAAAGATCACAACAAAACTTGTGCCATTTTTTGCAGCTGTTTTCCTGTGGTGGATGACGTCACATCTTTTTTGCTTGTTTTTGCTTTCTGAACACAGACATGAGGAGCAGGCACTATGATAGCATAGCAATTGCAGGTGAAGGCATGGTTTCTTAATTGGTATTGCACGGTGATCACCAGTGTACATTAACAGTGACCCCTGATGTTGAATGTCCTAGTATAATAAAGAACCGAATGTCAGAGAGACTATTTATGTGTGAGTAAGACTTGAGTTAGGGTGAGGGTTAGGTGTGGTAGAACAGCTGCTGCAACAAGGTACCATCCACAAATATGCAGTTCTTACTTGGTTCTTTATCTTTGGTGACCACTAGTCATTGAAGGGTTAAAAAGGACAAACAATCAGCAGCAGGTGAACATGGGATCAGGTCTTGTTCCTTAGCACAATTTGCAAAGACAGTATAGTCATATCCAAACTCAATATGTTTGGGACTTTCTTCAGTAGATCTATAGAATCATAGAATGGCCTGGAAGGTACCTTAAATATCATCTGGTTTCATGTTGGTAGTTAAGAGGTATGGGAAAATGCCCCAAACTTTTGAAACTATACCTTTTTTCATGAATAATCAGTTTCCATCTATCTCATCTTACTCCTAAAAATGAAGTACTATAGCAAAAACGTAGTTTTTTTTTCTGAATTAGTCTGCAATATATTTTTATGGTTAGTCACATGTCTTTTCTGGTTTATGCCCTGTCAACTGCCCTCTGAAAGAGAAGCAAGTGGTCACGTATGTGTATGTATGATTTCCCAGGGAGTGCCACCCAGGGTGCATAACAATAATACTTGTTTCTTTGATCATACAGTTTATTATTATTTTGGTGCTGGGTGATTCATTGATGGCCCCTTTTTCTTTCATTTTAGAGAGCACAGAAGTATGTTCTGTTGGCAGCAGTTCTTCAGGATTTGTTTTGACATCTCACCACTGTTGGCTTTTTGGTTCAGCTGTTGCTCGATTACAAGTGCTGTTGTAAATCGCAGTAAACGTCACAGGTGAATTCTGTGGAAACTTTTTTTCTTTCTCAATACTTGCAGTGGTAAAATCAGAGGTTAAGGTACTATATTGGCTTTTCCCGAAAAAGAGCTTTCTTTAAGTAATGGCTCAGTAGATTTATTGTACCGGGTACTTGGCCAGAGTGACAGCAAACCGAAATCTGTTTACAGGGGATGAGATTATTCCCATGAGTCTGAAATCCCACGCACACTCTGGGAAACACAGTGGCAACAGACGTGAGGAAAGTGAAATAGTCCTACTTAAGTTAACCATACCTTGAGGAAAAAGTTATAAATGTTTATCTTATTTTTAGCAAAGTAAATCTTGAGTGACAGTTCTCATGACTGTACTGAGCAAGCAGTTTGTTACTATGGTGGATAGACTGTTTCACAAAGAAAGAAAGTTTCCAAGCACAAATACTCTTTTCTTCAGTTTAACACCCAGAGATTCATTTAATAGAATCAGTCAACCATTAAATTTGATTGTACAAAATGAGATAAATGACATACAAGTATATCCTCCTTCTTCCCTTAGTTCAGGGAAGTCAACTGCATTGTTCAAGGCAGTGGGCAAAAATATGTGATCAGTGTACAGAAGACTGAGTTAATGCAAGATGGGAAATACAGACCTTAATGCAGCGATCCTACAATCTCAGGCTGAATGCTTAGGTAAGATACTAGATAAGAATGGCATGATATATTTGGAGACATAATGATAACTGTATTCACCACCAGCAGTATATTCAGTTCACTTTTAGTGCAATTATCCAAATATTCCAAAACAGTGAGCACAATTGAAGGAATCATCTCTTCTTCTAATCTGATTCAAGAAAGATCATCCCAAACCAGAATTCAACATATGATTTTATGCTTTGAAAGAAAATTATCTGGAAGCATATCCAGCCGTTTTGCAACAAATCTGAAACTGCTGCCATGATATACTAATGCCAGTCACTGAACACAAGGAAGAGAATGGGACCAGCTAACATAATGAAAAGAAATCCCAAAATAAATATACTCATTTCGTGACGTAGTTTTTCCCTGTACCTCACTCTCAGATATTTTTTGTCCTCAGCAAGCAGTATCTCCATTTTCCTTGGTGTGATTCATCTCTGTTCGCATTTGAGGCTCAGGTCTCTCTCATCATATTGATAAATGAGATAATTCAAGTTAAACTAACAGCTGATGTTTTTAACCTGTACTTGCTTGCACGATTGCTGCATTTCAGACCTAAAGGTTTGTAGTCAAACCTTAGCTCAGCATTTTAGTTGAGTCTAGCAATACTGACTCATCCTCATTTTACTTGATGTCGGCATGAATGAGGGTGGGTTTTAACATCGACATTGTACTTCTCCTTATACTTGTTTCTGCATCAGTGTCTTTTCTCCAATCATACAAGTACTAAAGCAGCATCAAAAATTCAGCAGCATTGAACAGCATTCAGTATATGACTAATCTTACTTAGCTTTGGGGTATATTTATGAAGACTTCCTAGGAACATAATATAGTTTAAAAAGCCTTTTTCTTGGATCAGAATCACTAAAAATCAGTGTGAGAATGTGATGGTTTTGGTCTAGGCCTTCCTGGTACCCAGCTTGTAACCAAGGAAGTGGCCATGTACCCAGTATTCCATATGATTTTTTACATAAACCAGGGTATAAACAAGCTAAAGATTAGAGACCTTGCACTCTTCCCTTCTGGCGAGGTTCAGGAGCAGTGGGTCCTTGTGTGGGTCTCGCTTATCCAGAGGCCGAGGCCTGCAGCGACCGCTGCTCTGCCACGTGGGAGATTGGAGAGTGCTGGCCATGTCTGGGGATCTTGTTTTTTCTGAGGGACGTGGTGAGATCCGTTTTACTAGTTATTTTGCTAGTTCTTGGATTTGATTGTGTATATCTGTATATCCTGGTTTTGTCCCTTTTTTCCTTTTCCCTTAGGGGGGTGTTTGGATTCCCTTCTCTGTGTACATAGCATTTTAATTGTATATAACTGTAATATACGTAAAAATATATATTTTTATATAACTCGATTGATTTTGGGTCCTTCAGTTTTTATAGTTTTTTTTCCTTTGCCCTAAGGGAAGAAGGGAGGGGTAAGGGCTTGTTACTGTGAGTTTGGGCATTTGGCAGGGAGCCAGGTCCGAACCATCACAGAGATAGATTTGTAGATTCTTGTAAAATGTTCATCATCTCATTCTTCTTGGCAGAGGAAATTGATTGTTTCACGTTGATGTAAAATATAGGAGTTAAAATTCCCACTGAATGACTAATATCTTTTCTGTTTTGTCCACTACTTTATATAAAGATGGGAGAGTTTTTTCCCAGTATCTTTGTGGTAGCCATAACACAGTTAATATACTTAAGATAGAATGTAATGGTATTTTTTATTGCAACTTTAATACACTTGCTATTTAAATGAAATTAATGCTCACTAACAGCTTTTTGGGCAGGTGAAACCTCAGATGGAAATGACCCCAGCTCCTGGCATTGCACTGTCCACCAAGCTGCCTTGCTTGCTCCAGGGACAGTAGCTTTGGAGCCTCCAAGAAAGGCTGTGAGAGAGTAGGCTCTGTAGACCTTCTGAATACATGTGTGGCTATGTAGCATTGTACAGTGTTTTATGTTGTGAGAGGAGCAGAGATAAAGGAAAACATGGCTACCAATTATATTTTCTGTAATGTGTATGTAAAAGAGGAAGGAGAGATGTGGGAAACTGTGTTCCTTTATTTGAAGTAATGAATGTGACATATCCCTTAGACTGAAGCTCAGTAAAATTATTGCCCCTAATCATGCATATTCTTTCCTTACTGCCAAACGTGGACAGTTTAGTGAATTAGGCTGGCAAAGTCTGAATTCTAAAATATTAAAATATGCTTTTCCTGACTAAAGTTCCTGAAGGTCTGAATAATCACTGGTTGAAGGCCATGCTGAAAGTATGATAGAAAGTAGCATAAATAATATAATGAGGTTACTGTGTTAAATTACTGCTTTAGAGCTGAAATAAACCTGTAAACCTGGTTAGTTAAAAAATACCCGTGGCTGAATATATTGCTTTCCTAAAAAAGTTAATACATTATACAGATCATAATCTCAAATGATATCCATAGGCGATGTAAATGTAGATGAATAATCTTCCAGTCTAGCTTTGTTAGATGAATGCAAACTGGAACTTCATTAGGAATAAAGACTAAAACATAGGCACTGTAAAGATTATAATTTCAATGTATTTGACTCTTTTATGTCTGTGAATGTTTACTAATAGTGCATTCTTATTTTAAATATTGACGTGCATAGACCAATGTAGTCATTAAAGATCACCTTTTCATTTATAATCAAAAACAATGAACACTTATACTCAGTTGACTTTTGCAACCATACTTGTGCTTCCTTGAATGAAAAAAGACAAATTTAGAAACTTGAACTTCGAATGAACAGGAGAAATTTGTCTTCTAAAAGCTTTTTCAAAATCTGCATCTTCACAGGACAAAAGCAATAGTTAATTCCATAAGTTGGAGGTCTTTTTGGAGTAGGTAGCTGAATGATTTTTTGGTCTGTTCCTACAGGTTTTCAATACATACTCTAATGAAGACTATGACAGGAGAAATGATGAAGTTGACCCAGTTGCTGCATCTGCTGAATATGAACTCGAGAAGCGTGTGGAAAAGCTGGAGCTCTTCCCAGTGGAACTAGAAAAAGGTATGGTGTCCGTGTGCCATTTCCAGTTCCTGTGACGCTGACCTACAAGTCTGAGGAAGTCCGGAAGTCCACACATGTGTACGGAGCTTATCTTGAATATTCATGAATCTGTTGAAGTCACCTTGGCTTTTTGGATTTCAGGAATTTTTCAGTAAGGAATTAAAGAAGCAGCTCAGAGAGAAGCAGTTTTTACCTTCCTTAAAAGAATTGTTTTGTGACAGTCCAGTAACACATGGATTTTGCACCGTGTTTGATGTGATATGTTCATTCTCCACTGGAGGAGTAAAAATCTTGACTGTTCCTCTAAGCTCTTCATAAGGGTGAAGGTGATATTTGTTGTATGTAATTAAAGTAGTAGTCAAATAGATTTTTTTAAAAGAAGCAAAAGAATATTAATGTTATTGACATGGAGAGCCAAGAGGAACCAAAGCATAAATATTTAGCTACCAAATAGCTGCACAGATCAAAATTTCTGCTTTCTCTTTCCTTTTTTACAGATGAAGATGGACTTGGCATAAGCATTATTGGAATGGGAGTTGGAGCAGATGCAGGTCTTGAAAAACTGGGAATATTTGTCAAAACAGTAACAGAAGGTGGGACAGCAGAAAGAGATGGCAGGTAAACTAGACTCTGTTTTTGGAGATTTTCTTAGCAATAGTTACTATAAATTATGCTTTTCATGGGAAATAGTTGTATGCTTAATGTATGCCATGATTACCCAAAGCTGTAGAGTTCAGAGACTTCCTTATGAGAAGACAACAAATTGATACAGTGAGTTTAAACTGTTTAAGGGGAACAGAATTGCCAAAGATGTGTGTTTCTGACTACTGAAATCCCAGATGCTTTAGCCATGAGTTAACCTGGTGATTCCAATGTGTGTATCACTTTTGAAGGTAGTTTAGATTTTAAAGGTGTTGAGCTCCCACCTGTTCTTTTTTCGCTTCAAGCCAGCTTTGGACAGGCAGTACTTAAGATGAAGAGTTCTGTTGAACATTTGATTATTTGATTTCTTTCCAGAGAGATCTGGACAGGCTGGATGGATGGGCTGAGGACAACTGCATGAGGTTCAGTAAGGCAAAGTGCCAGATCCTGCACTTGGGTCATAGCAACCCCACGGAGCACTACAGGCTGGGAGGAAGAGTGGCTTAAGAGCTGCTCAACAGAAAGGGACTTGGAGGTGGTGCTTGACAGATGGCTTGGTATGAGCCAGCAGTGTGCCCAGGTGGCCAAGAAAGCCAGTGGCATCTTGGCCTGTATCAGAAATAGTGTGACCAGCAGGAAGTAATTGTCCCCCAGTACTTGGCACTGGTGAGGCTGCACCTCAAATCCTGTGTTCAGTTTTGGGCCCGTCACTTCAAAAAAGACACTGAGGTGCTAGAGCGTGTCCAGAGAAGGGCAACAAAGCTGGTCATGGGTCTAGAAAACACATCTTAAGAGGAGTGGCTGAGGGAACTGGGCTGTTTAGTCTAGAGAAGAGGAGACTCACAGAGGACTGTATCGTTCTCCACAACTACCAGAAAGGAAATTGTAGCAGGATGGAGGTGAGTCTCTTCCTGCCAAGTTGTAAGAGAAAGGACGAGAGGAAATGGCCTTAAGTTGTGTCATGGTAGGTTCAGATTAGGTATTAAAACATTTTTTTTCACTGAAAGAGGGGTTAGGCATTGGAATAAGTTGCCCAGGGAGGTGGCAGAGTCACTGGAAGTGTTTAAGAGGCATCTGGATTTGGCACTTGGGGATATGGTTTAGGAGTGATTGTGATGAAAGGTTGATGGTTGAGCTAGATGATCTTGAAGTTTTCTTCCAACCTTGATGATTCTGTGATTAGGAAAATAATTAGTGTATACACTCCTTTTTAATTTTACTAACACAGACTGTTCCCTTGAATTTCTTGTTATGGCTAGTCTTCTGTTCCAGAATTCAGTTTTCACCTACAGCATTGAAAGTACAATAATCAATTGGAATAGGAAGCTGTACCATAAGTCTTGCCTACTATAGAAATGAATTGGTGTTTGTAGTCTTATGTGATGCTCATGTAAAACCTGCTTGCTTCTAGAATTGCTTATTTAGTATGTTCAGGTTAAAGAATTCCTTTTGAGCATAAAATATTCCTATCATATGGGACAAGTTATCTGTGTTTTACACAATACCTGTCACAATAAGGACAGTGTTACTGTCTAATAATTTAATAATGAAAAGTATTTTCAAGTATCTTCCATACAATTTGTCAGTTTGTCCCATTGCATAACCTTTGTAAATTTGCATGCCAATAAAATATTACTTATCTGATATGTAAGTTATTAAACAACTTATATGCGTTCTCTTCTTCTGTTTTCAACAATTAATGATTTGTTATATTATTTATAAGTAAAAGCAAGAATGAACTCTTAAAAAGTTGATGCTGTCTTCTGAAAAATGTTTTGCAGTAATATGTTCCTTATTGATGAACCCCTCTAACTTTTCAGCCAGGCAAAAAGTTGTTCTGTTGTGGAAACCCCACAAAAATTAAATAAGAAGACTCTAAAATGCAGGGGATTGCAAAGTTTAATAACATTGCTCTGAAACTACTGACGTATATCGTCTTCTAGATTAGACTTGGAGGCGTCTTTATAGATCTTGGCAGTAAGATACGAAGTTGAAGGCCAAGTACTGATTTATCACAGGCTTAAACATTATGAAGGGAAATGAAGAAACTGACACCTCAAGGTGTCATGACTTTATCCATTACTTTAAATTTAAGGGAATGTTTTTCTGAAGGGTATGCTTGACCTCAGCCAAAAGGCATTAAGCTCATGACTGGCATTCTTTGTGAAATTCTCTGGTTGAAAATCAGTCACTCACTACTGCTCTGTGATGATCTGTAATTTCTTTCCCTCTCATTATTCACATGTTTGAGTGGGCTACAGAAGTTAATGTTCCATCACAAGTCTCTTCTTTCATTTCCCTGGATGGCATCTGAAAGGAGCTTGTCAGCTGAGGAAAAATAAAATCATTCTTTGACCATTCTAATATTTGTGTTGGTTTTCAATTGGCAGAATGTTCAGTCAGCTGAGAAATAGCACTCCGATTTTCTCTTTGAGAGCCTGACTGATCATTCACTTGGGAAAGGGATATGTAATCCTCTCAGTCAGGAGCAGACGGTTCTGTAATAAAGTGCATCAACTGTAAAGGGTCCTGTTATCTTCATTTTTGTGAGAAGCCTAGTTAATCATTAACACTGATAGCAAAACAAAGTCTCATAATGAAAATAAAACTGTATTTCAACAGTTGCATCAGATATTTTGAATAATCACATAGCAATATTCAGCCAGGTTCTTCTGAAGCTACAGTTTAAAACATTAAAGTATCTTGTAGGATAGCTCCTATCTTTCATTGAAAGACCCATCAAATTGTGATATAAAATACTTGCCTCCCATGGAAACAGAAAATCTGTACAAAGGGGTTTCTCAGGGATTGGGTACCACTGGCTTGATTCGTGTTGCTTCAGACAGACAGGTAGAATTTATTTGTCATATTAAAAGGCATTATGCACCAATATTTAACAAAGAAGGATGATTTAAGATGAACCCAAATGTTGATTAGGTAATAGGAGAGGTTATTGCTAGTGTGTAAAATAGGGAATCAGTCATTACACTGAATATGAAAACAAAAACTTATCTTGGATGAATCAATCCATAACTGCTTCTTTCAAATTATTGTGGTGATGAGTCATTCACATTTTAAAGTATTTTGATAACATTAGGATCAACAGTTTTGAAACATTGCATAGTTCTTAATTTGAGCTCTAAAAGCTGTCTCTGCAGAGGTGAAATTTTATTGTCACAGAGCAGTATTTGTGCTGGTAATTTGTTCAACCTTGGTTGGTTCACTTCTGTAGCTGCTGCTTCATTCTCATCTACAGGCAAAGTTTAAAGTCATGAGCATAAGAAAATAATTGTCAGAAGAATCACAAATTTTGTTAATAATGATAAAAGCAGTTAAATGTCTATAACTGGGGCTTTGGCAACTTGAGTCTATATTTTCATTCGTGTTTGAAATAGATTTGAGAGACAGCGGAGGCCTAGAGCTCCTCACAGAAGGAGCTCTAACAGGAAGGCTGTCCTTTGAATGTTGTTTGATATGTGTGTGTGTTTATGTATGATTAAAGTATATGTATATGTAGAAAGAAAGGAGGTTTGGAGAACAGTGACCATAAAAATAAGAGTTGGAAATTAATTTAGGAGCTATACAAACAAGAAAGAAGGAAAAATGAAATATGCCTGAAGGACAAATGGAATTAGACTGAATCAAGATGGAGCCACTTATGAAGTTTAAGGCAGCAGTTCTCTAACATAATGTTTCATCACCTAAATACTGTAACTGTGGCTCTGTATGAACTCTGCTAATCCACTGCATAGTGATGTACAGTGTTGTAGATGAAATGTCATCTAAAAGGAATCTGTTCTTCCACCATTTTCAGCCAAGACAGTGACAGTTTCCCACTCAGTCAGCAACAGCTTCTTAAAAGTTCTTTTCTAGGGACTCCTATATTTCAATCTGACTGCACCTCATTTTTACTGAAGTAAAACTAAAAATCAAAATTCAATAAATATTAATGTGACACTTGTATTTCTTAAATGCTTCAGTGAAAATTGAAAAAAAAATTCTGAGAATAAAATACCTAATGTGATTTTTGAAACAGTTTATGGGCTGCCTTTTTCAAGGGAGATCCTGCCCAGAAGACAGTGATATTCTGTGGTGTGAGGCTGCCAAAGAATAAATATTGTATTTCTTACTCATCAGTGGAATCCAAAGAACAGAAAATACTGTTTTGGACGCATGTAAAACTGCAAAGCACTGTGTCAAACTTGAAACATAAATTAGGACTCCAAGTCTAAATGCTTCAGCCCTCTGTTGAAGCCTCTGTTGTTCTTTGAAAAGAAGTCTTGTCACTAGGATATCCTAAGATATTAAATATATTAATGTAGGTACTTTCATATAATTTAAATAGAAGTTTTTTGTAGCTGTTTCTTGGTTCCCTTGTAAACTGTGTGTTTTGGATCAATAGAATCCCTGTAAGTACTTGAAAATTGGTCCCTTTGTATGTGTTTGTTTGTTTTGGTACTATTGGGGATTGTGCATTTCTGGAGGATAGTACAGCAGTCATCTTCCAAGGATTTGTAGTCCGGATGAGTCCAGTGCCTGTTCTAGGGATTTTGTAGCGATGCTTGCTTTAGATGAAAGCAGCATGGTTTTCCTTCTGTCTAACTTTTTGTGCATCAAACAGTGTATCAGCTGTAAATAGGTGTTTGGTTTCAGAAAAAAAGGCTTCATTAAAAGAGTCCAAGGTCTTATAATGTGTGAAGCAAGATCACATCTCCACTGGGAATTCATTTTTTGGAGCAAGTTAGATGAAATATCTTAAGAGAGTACGTCACAATTAAGTCTGATACATAAGCCCTTTTCTCCACAGATGAGCAGGTTGTTTTAGTTAAATATCACATTTTTTTCCGTTAGCATGAAATACCAGAGCTATGTCTTATGCTGTTTTTCAAGTTTGGCTTAGGAAAAAATTATATAAGAGCTATTGAAGTATCTCATTCAAATTAATTCATATGGCAAATTCAAGGGTTTGCGTTGCCGTATTTCTATACAAGGAAAGGGACTGAATAATTGATGCTATTAATTGTAGTAGTAACTTGGAAGCTGGATTTGCGAGATGTCTGCATGCAAGGAATAATACATTTTTCATATTTACCTCAGTCATTTTATGACTGAGCTTTTGTTTAAAGTCTAGCTAGAAAGATGTCTCTATGCTAAATTTAACTGAAAATTCATAAGAATTCACACATTTATTTATGTATTTGTGTTTTTTCCCCAAAAGGATCCAAGTGAATGACCAAATTGTGGAAGTTGATGGCATCAGTCTGGTTGGTGTTACTCAAAATTTTGCTGCAACTGTTCTTAGAAACACCAAAGAGAAAGTCAGGTGAGTATTTTAGAAGGAAAAAAAAAATTGTAATTTAATACTTAAGATTACTTGACTTCCTTCACAAGACTTTCAGTATTCCCAGGTGGAATCAGAGTTTTTTTTTCTTCTTGATGTCTTCTCTCCTTTGATCCCAAGAAAGGGATGAGATACAGTATGACAGTTTTGTTTTGGTTTAGATTTTTAAAATATGACCACTGAGACAAGCTGAAATTGCAGATAGATGACCATGGTCTCAATCATTGGTCTAGATCTCCATGGACTTCAAACTGTTTGTATTAGTTGAAATGACAAAGGTCTTAGGTGTTGGTCAGATGGAAACTGCACTGCCACTGATCACCTCCCTGCTCTTCCTGTGGGGAGACTGGCCATGATAGTGCCCCAGGGTTGGAGCAGTAAGGTGGTGAGCACTCTGGTGCTTGCAGATACCACCTCAGCACAGAGGAGAGGAGAGCACTGGATGCAGGAGTGTTAACACCTACCAAATTGAGGAAAGCAACATCCCAGCTCAATTCATTGAGCTCCTGGCACCACCTCTGGATTTCTCTCTGCTCCTATACTGTCCCTGTAAAAATCCATAAGATAATGAATAGGCTAGAAAATGTAACATTCACTGCAAGTAAAAGTCTGAACTAATGTAAATGCAAAGCTGTAAATGTCTGTAAATTAATAAGAACACTGTTTGCCTAGAAATGAACTGGTTTACCGTTTAAAACCCTGTGCAGACACAAAACTTTTCTGTTTAATAGCTTGTTAATTTCAGTAAAGATTTAACTCTACAAAATAAACCCCAAAATATCTTTGGCATACTGTAAAGCAACAGCTATTCTGTAGTCACCCTTTGGTTCTCTTTCAAAATCTTCTCTAGGGAATAGAACTGAATTCTTTAATTAATGAGATCAGAGCTGAGTTCTTTTGAACCATGACTAAACTATGTGTGGTAATATATGCAGACCCCCTCAGCTGGTGGTGCTGTATGTTGGCGTGCACATTTCCACTATAATTCCGTGGCTCTCCTGTACAACATTAAGAAACAATGGTGGGATGTGGATTCTGCAAAGAATCTTGGGGGTGGTTGATCAAGGTTTTATTTGAAAGAGGTTATTTAGGAAAAAAAGTTATTGAAACTGTAGTGTAATTACAGGTGAATATATTTTTGTGTACCTTCTACAGTTTAAGTTACATCAGTACTATTTCTGCAAAGACTCACACATGCTGTGAATGTTCCTACTGAGCTAGCTATAAAAAGTATATACCTTATTGGGTTTTCTGCAGAGTTGGGACCTTCAAATATAAAATCCATAACAGAGAATAGTGTATTCCTGTGTTTCAGTACACAAAGCAAATGTTATGTATATTTTGTGTTTGATGTTTTAGCTCAAAAGAAAAAAACACTTACATAAAACATATGTATTAGATACATTTATAACCAGCTTAGTTCATGTAATAATTATTGCATAAGTTACAGAATAGAATACTTGTTTCCATGGAAAAATAATAGAAGGAAGAAACATAAAATGATTTTCACACAGAACTCCCAGAGTCTTCTCCCGGGAAGTAAATTGCAGTGAGATTGGTTGCAATCTAGACCCTTGTCACAAAATAGGGGGCTGTAAAAGTATTTCTTCATTGTTGTTGAGCTTACGTTGTCAAGTGTACTATATATCCTGTGCACTGGGATCATTGGCTTCTGACAAGTCTCATTTATCAAAGAGAGATGTGTGTTTCTACATTTTCCCTTCTAAGTAAGCTTAAAATACTTGTGTTAGTGTCACAACTGGACAAAAAACCTTCTTAAAATATTATTCATTGAATAATAAAATTTTAATCTGAGTTGTAATATGAAATAATATTAACTTATGAATAAATAAACCAGATATATAATAACCTATGCGTACAATAGGGTACTGTGTGCTTAGCAGTATCTTACTAATATATATGTCTAACTAGATATAAAAAATGGGGAGAATTTAGTGCAGCTTCCTCTATTTTTTGTTTCATTTAAAAATTCATGGGGAAAAAAATCCCTCAGAAACATGACTTTTCTGCTTTATGCAGGCCAGCCAAGAAATGCATGATTTCTTCCCTGGTTTGTGGTAGGCTGGGAGCAAGGCTTTACAAGATGGCCAAGCATTGTGTGGCACAGGATTCTGGCTTCTGACCTGGTCCTGGAAGATTTTGCTGTCTGATGCTCTGCATTGGTTTTAACAACTCAAAAGCAAAAGTGGTTCCAGAAAGCTGGGTCTTTTTAGATTTCAAGATGCTTGGATTTTTGGCTTTAGTGTAGGTTTGAACATTTAGTTGTAAAGAGAGAGCTAATATTGACGAATTTAGATATGAAAGGAAATGAGGTATTTTTACCTCCCTTACTGTTTTTGTTTTGATGTGTGACAAAAGAGACCTGCCTGCTGCTTGCTCTGTGGAGAGAACAATTGGTTTCTGGCAGATCCTCTTTCCTGCTCTACAGCTGTGTCAGAGCTAGGATTGTCAGAGCTACCTTCTTTGGCAGACAGTGCCCACCTCTGCACCTGAATTGCTCCAGAACACTAGGGGCAACTTAAGAGGGTCTTCTGGGGCAAAATCCCTCTCTTGCCCCCAGCTGTCAGCTTCTGCCCGTTGGCAGTGCAGGGAGGGAGGTGCTACTGACCTCTGAGTGCACCATTCCCATGGCAGCTGCCATTAATGATCCGTATCGCTGCGGGAGGCAGGAGCAGTGGAAAAGGTTGCTGCTTTATAAATACCTTCTGCCATTCCTATGAGGGGTGTCCCTGCCGAACTACAAGTGTGTAGGCAGTGTATAATCTCACACCCCACCTAATTCAAGGCAAGGCAGCTTCGTGAATCTGTCTTTCACAGGGGAAATCACATTCATACTTACTCTCATGTCTGCTGTTTAATAGTGTCAGTTTGATGGATTTTATAGAACTGCTTTAGTAAGCGTAGTTATCTTTGAGATCACAGCATACAAAATCTGTACCTTCTGCCTGGTGTCCTGTGCACACAGAGATTTGTGTGCATTTCACCGGCATTACTTTACGTTTATAACCCACAGCATTACGCATATGCAATCGTTTTGTCCTTAATCTAGTCAAAGTGCATGCTGGTTTTTGTAGCAGGGTTTTGTTATATGAGATCAATTGTAAAGAAAGGACATTCATGAATAGAATGACATTAAAGCCACTTCTTAATTCTTTGCAATAAATGCAGTCAATACCTCTTCAGAGAGCTTGCATAATACCAATACTTAGTGATTTATTTTTCCCCTTTGAGCTTTCTGAACATTTTGAATGATACTGACAGTGGAAATCATTGACCTAGAATAGATTTTTGCAGTTTTTCTACCAGAAAAAAAAATCTATCCAGACTGTCTGTAGCTGACACAGTAAAGAATTTGTGAAAATGAAGACATGGCTTTTACCTTTTGAACTGTTTTAGGTGAGACTGAGAGGAAAGAAGAGAAAACATACGCATCTGTGATTATTTTATCTACTGTTTGCAGTATTGGACTACCCAGCAGAGTTGTCATACCATAATGGAAGATCATTGACTCAGCCAATTTGGCTTCTCCAGTGATAATAAATTAAATTATTCTTTCTGATAATGTTTTATAGAAAGATAATCAGTACCCACCAGATGTATTCTGGTAGCCTATGAGGCAAAGCAAAGAGAGGGAATTCTTTTATAATCCCAGCTGGCAATCAGCTTCTGTTTTTCGGGATGAGAATTAGTGTCCTCGTGACTCTAATCTGGCAAATACAGCTATGAATGCTGTTTCAATTGATGTAAATATCAAGTCTTCTGCATAATTTTGCTTAGCTATTTAATTTACTAATATCTCATATAGTGGACTTCAGAATTTGATTATACACAGGAGGGATTTTCCTTTGAAATGTGTGTTGTTTTCAATATTGTTGAGTGTTGACCCTGTTCTAAGATTAATGGATCAGTCAGAGGGCAGTGCCACACTAATACCACTAATTATTCTGTGCTTCTTTTGACCCCATTTAGGATGTAATCCATCAGTTTGAACTTTGTGAGCGGTGCCTGCAATCATAAAAGATAGGATAAAGAGACAGCTTGATAGTTGGAATCCTATCCTGTCATGGAGCTTCTCCTGTGTTATTTTGTTTGCATACCATGGACTGTGGTATTGAGTATCAAACCTGAAGTTCTTTGAAGCTGCTTGGGTTATGTTGAGCTGTTGTGATCCCATTCTTTCCCCTGTTCATCATAATGAAAGGGTGCTGGGAGACCCTCCTGTCTTTGCCAGAGAAAGCTCACTCGAAGAGTTGTATCTCTCCAGGGAATTTTATTTTTTTCCTTGAACACACGAGAGACAATCTAGTTCTTGCATACGGCAGACTTTATCCTTTTATCATACTTATCTAATCTCTGTCTCTCCTAGAACAAATATTGGGAGCTTTCAGTGGGGACTGCACTTCTTTGCCTTATTGGATGCAAAGATTTGTGCTCATGCAGCTCTGGGAAAGGGCGGGATCCCAGGAAAGGAGGGCATCGTTCTGAGAAGCCTCACTGCATTGATAAGTAGAGTCTTGCACAAGGGAGTCATTGGAAAATCCTAGTCCTTCCTATGCTGCTTGTATGCTTTTATCATCATTACTTTCCTCTGAAAGGTTTCTTTAGAGTTAACCAAATTCAGTGTTTTACTGGAGAGGCAAATTTTAAATTCCGTGTCCTCCTTCCGTATCCTGTCGTATGAATGTGACTAAACATTTTCTCAGCTTTCCAAACTGTTGCTAAGCACTGAGTGGATGCTCTCACGGTGTTTTCTGAGTCAGTTCTTGATTTTTTAGGGAACCATGCAGAACCTGTGCAAAACCTGTTTGGTGTCTCATGATTTGTACCACTTTGAAAGTTATTAATTTTATTAATTCTAACCTACCAATTAGTTTACCTGCTTTTGTTTAATTAAATTCTGCTGAAATGCATCAGTCTTCCCATCTTAAATAATTGGTTAGCCAATTTTGCCATGTTTAATT